ATACTATTGAAGCTAAAGGGCAAAATCTATAGGACAGTTGTGAGACCAGCTTCGCTTTATGGGATGAAATGTTGCATGGTCAAGAAACAACATACCCATAGGATGAGTATAGCTGAGATGAGGATGTTGAGATAGATGAGTGGCAAGACAAGAAGGGATAGAATTCGAAATGAATACATTCGGGAGAACTTAGGTGTGGCTCCAAAAAGCAATAAGATGAGAGAAAGTAGACTTAGGTGGGTTGGCCATGTATAGCGCAGACCTAGTACAACACCTTTTAGGAAGTATAAGTGTAAGTTAGTTCAAGTAGAAGGCTCAAAAAGGGTATGAAGTATGTCCAAAAGGACATGGTTGGAAATAGTGAGAAAAGATTGGACTTATAGCCTCATTGAGGGTATGGCCCTAGATAAGATAGAATGGCGGACCAGGATTCTTATAGCCAAACCCAAATAGTTACGAAAAGGCTCTAATGATGTCTGAAAATAGGAGAAAAAGAACAACAAAGTAGAAATTAAGAGTTCTCAATTATATAATAATCAAACAGCAATAGGATGAACGTGAGGTGTTTCAAAAGGGAAAGCTTTCTATGTTCCTCCTACAACATAGAAGTTCTATGTTCCCCCTTATCCAACCCTCCATTTTTAATGGAGGGCTACGATTGTCCCAATCACAATGCCACGTCTCTACACTGTTTCATTTTTATTTTTTTTTCTATAAACTGTTTTGACACCAAATTTTGGACGTCCATTCCTATATTAAACTCGCACTAACGAAAATATAAAAAAAAAAATTTTGATAAAATAAAATGACCAAAATACCCCTGAAAGTTTCAAGGGGTATTTTGGTCATTATTTTTTATTGAAAAATTATTGTTAATATTTTTTATAGGTGCGCCCCAATAAAAAGATGGCACACACCAAATTTCATATTCAAAAAAAATGTATTAAAAAAAAACTAAAAATAAAATTCTTTGAGACGTCAAATCTAAAATCAAACGGTGAGTGGCTCTCTTGATAAAAAAATGGACAGCTCGATGGTAGGGGGAACATAGAGCTTCTATGTTGTAGGGAGAACATGGAAAGCTTTCCCGTTTCAAAAAGGCCTGCCTAGGGGAGCCTGGACAGGCGCCCAACGCTCGGCCTTGGGCAACCCTGCACCCTGCCTAGGGGCAAAAATGCCCCTTGTTGAGGGGTATACCAGGGCCATTTGAAGGGGCCTTTTTTTAAAAAAATAAAAATAATAATAATAAATTTAAGCTTCTACAAAAGGGGGTTGAGGTTCATATGCAACATAAACACCATTTGAACCATTTTAGAGAGAGAAAAACTTCAAAAAAAATTGGGATTTTGTGATTTTCATAAGATTGAAGGGTTTCTCAAAGTTCTGAGAAATCTATCCAAACATCACCCTTTGAGTTTAGATTTACTTTTACAGATTTTTTAAGACTATTAGAGGATTTTTAGAAGATTTTGAGATTTTAAAACATCTCAAAAGTGGAAGTCTGAAGATCGACCAATCAAGGTTAGTGAAAAACTTTTCTTTTTAGATTGCTTAGATTAATTTCAGATGTCTTCTTCGGGATAATGGTGATCCGGGTTGGAAATATGGCAATAACCCGAATCCTTTAAATAAAAATTGCATAAGATGCAGTCATTGTGAGAATGATACAAATGGGGTATAAACAGGTTCAAGAAACATCTTGCCGATATCAGGGGGAATATTGCCCCGTGTAAAAAAGTTCCTGATGCAATTGGGGAGGACTGGAGGAGATAAAAAAATTTATAAGCATAGTAAAAAAGAAAAAAGAGGAAATGGAGGCATGCATAGCAGAGCCAAGGTCTGGGGTTCGTGTTAATTATGATGATCATGAAGAGGGGTGTGAAGACGTGGAGCAGCATGCTATGTCCCAGCCTAGGGGGGAAAGAAAAGGGAATGGTAGTTGGTTCTGGGGGTGGGGGGCCTAAGAGGCCTCATGTTAGGGGGCCTATGGATTCTTTTTTCCACGGCTTGACCCTAAGGTTGCAGGTGAGAAAACAAAGAAACAAACAACCATTGAGAATAGAATCAAGAAGGAAGAGAGAGAGCTTAGGTGGTTTTATGAGGGGGGGCATTCCTTTCAGTGTCTCTCGCCTAAACAGCTTCTACACCTCGGCAGAAGCAATTAGCCAATTAAGCCTGGGTTGAAGCCCCTAATTCTATATGAGCTTTCAAAGCCTCTTTTGAAAAAAGAGGTGAATGCCACAAGGGAGAATGTGGAGTCACAGAAGGATGCATGGGCTCATTATGGGGTTTCTATATGATTGATACTTGGAGTGATAAGAAGAGAAGAAGTCAGATGAACTTTTTGGTGAATTATCCTCTAGGGACTGGTCTTTTGAGGTCTATTAATGCCTCTGATGATAGCCATGATGCCCATTATATATTTAAAGTGATGGAGAAGGCCATCAAGGAGGTTGGGGAGTAGCATGTTATACAAGTTGTCACAGATAATGTTGCTTGTAATGTTGTTGCTACTAATTTGTTGGGCACAGCCTACCTTAATAATTTGTTGGGCATAGCTTACCTTAATATCTTTTGGACACCATACACAACACACTGTATAGATCTCATGCATGAGGTTATTGCCAGTTTGAGCGAGATTGCAAGTGTAGTTAAAAAGACCAGGTCAGTTACGGCTTTCATTTATAACCACGCCCTCACCCTCAGTATGATGTTACAAATAACAAGGAGATAGTGAGGCCAAGCGTCACGAGATTTGCTACTTGGTATCTATGTCTAGATAACATACATTCAAGGAGGGTTCAATTGAGGCAGATGTTTACCTCTGATGATTGGAGAGTATGCAAGTGGGCCAAGGATTATAAAAAGAAGAAAGTGAGAGATATTGTCCTATCTGAGGCTTTTTGGCGAGGGGTGACGGTGCTTTTAAGGTATTTTTTCCTCCTGTCAAAGTCCTTCACATGGTTGACAGTGACAAGCCCTCCATGAGCTACATATACAAGGCAATGAAAAGTTGCAAGAGAGAGATAGTCCATAATTTGGATGACGATGTCAGCTGCTATGAGCCCGTCTGAAAGATTATTTATGAGAAGTGGGATAGGCAGCTACATCAACCATTGCATGTAGCTAGTTAGTTTTTGAACCAAGCTTTTACTATGTTGAAAGGTACATACACACAAATGACACGATTATGACTATATTTAATAAGTGTCTGGATCTGCTAGTCCCTAATCAAGACATCCAAGACATTATATGAGGTAGCAAGTTACTAGTGCACATTGAAGTCTTTTGGGAGTTCATCAGTCCAATGGCAGTAAGATAAAGGACCAAAATTGATCCAGATAATAATATACTTAACCCAGTCCTCAAGTTCAAGTTTCATATTTGTTGTTTGTTTTTTATATTTCATATATGATAGTAATTCATAATCAATTTGCAGCCGATTGGTGGAGTCAACATGGGTGTAGTGCTCCAAACTTACAAAAGTTGGCCATTCGGATCTTGAGCCTAACCACTACCTCGTCCGACTGTGAGTGGAATTGGAATACTTTTGAGATGGTAATTTAGTTACTTTATTAGTTTGCAGTTTAAGAATTTATATTAGTAGTTATTAGTAACTAATTACTGATTACTATGTCAATTGTATTTTATTTTATTTATGTTGTTAACTGCAATGTCAATTGTAACTTCGTAGTATTTTCATTTGATTTTATTAGATTCATAGAAAGAAAATAAACAGGCTTGAATCAACGAGGTTCAATGACCTAGTTTATGTGAAGTGCAATCGATACTTAAAGGAGAGGTTTGCTGAGAGAGATAAGAGAGATACCTTCATATAAAAAAGTAGGGATAATGCTATGGAGTGGTTGGTTGATGATGAAGAAGTCAAGGGGCTTGAAGATACACATGGAGGCCCCAAGGATAACAGTCAACTCTCCTAGGCACTAAGCCTTCTTCATGGAGGACGAGCGTGGAGGAGGAAGAAGAAACATATTCATAGGAGATAGAGGAGGATGACCATTATATTGAGGAGGGAGATGATTCCCATGATGATGGCTCAACTCCGATGGATATGATGTAGCTGACTTTGCTTTTTCTGATGTTGAGCGATCACTTAAGACTTTTTGAATCTTAGAGTCTATTTCTTTCCTTTTTCTTTTCCTCCTCTTAGTTATGTGTATGTAACCATGTATGGACTATGGATATAGAGTATAGAGGAGTGTATGTGGAATTGGGGATTATGAACTTTTGATATGTCCTAAGCATTATTTATTCCCTTTTCTTCATTATTTTCTAATTTTTACCATGTGTATGAACTATGGAGTGCATAGAATTTGGACTATGGTATGGACTATGGAGTATGTTCTATTGTCTAGTGGTTTGAACTTTGAACTTTGAAAGCGAGAAGCACTAATCTCTAAACTCTTTTACCAAATGGTTTTTGATCACAGCAATGCATTTCCCATCGTAGTCGCGACCAATCTATTCAGCACCAGATACACAGCAGTAGAAAAACGTTCTAGTTCAATCTACACGGTTTGAAGTTCTAAGTTGGAAGCTGCTATCTCAGTATCCTAGCATACATGAGTCATCCATTGAGGAAACTCAATCGACTTCCTCAATCGAATGAAACAATTGAGAGGGAGAAAGGGAAAAGGAAAAAGAGTAAATGGGACGCTTCAGATGAAAGAAGAAGCAAAACCCAAAATTTTCAGGTTGCATAACAGTTTGTACAGTAGGGACACATTCCAATCCAATCTATGCAGTTAAGAGATCCAGACTATATTCTGATGTTCCCAATTTCTATCTTTAACACTTACAATATAGCTGTATAATCTCCCTAGAAAAATTCATTTCCACATAAAGAATTATCAACTAAATAAATTCAATCAATTAAAAAAACAGTAGAAAGAAGACAAAAGAAAGAAAGAAAGACTCAATGTGAGCAAACAAAACCCTAGAGACAGAAAGACGGACAAACCTAGAATTGAGCATCAAACCTGTGGGTGAAGACCAGGCGGCATGAAGAACACATCTTTCCTGAACATTGGAGCAAAATCCCACTGTAATTTTGTTGAGATCACCACGAAGAACCGACCCATTCCACACAGAGGCAGCATCCTGAACATTAACCTGACCAGCTAAGACCACGTTTGGGGCAACATAAGCATCAACGGCAATCTTAGGGAGCCATTGCCCCAAAGGAATTATCTTTCTCTGACCTCTGTAATCCCATTTGACATGGTGATCAGTTGCAGACAAGGCCTCGGTGAAGAAAGGCCTAGAAGTTACAGGGGATAAAGAAGGAAGAGGGAGTTTTAGAGTAGCTGAGCACGAAGGGAGGATAGTGGATTTTACGGCACTTCTGGAAAATCTAAGAAACTTCGCCATTTTTATCTGGTAGAGAGAGGGAGGGAGCGAGGGAGAGGTCGTGTGTTGCAGTGTGAGAAGCAGAGGTTACATAGTGCACGAGGGAAACAGAGGTGTTTTCTCTCTTTTCTCTACCTCTCTCTCTCTAGAGATATGACTCTCTCTCTAAAAATATGATCTCTGACCTTGGATTTCTCTCTCTAAAAATATGATACCTGACCTTGGATTTCTCTCTCTCTAAAATGTACTGTTATCTAAATTTAAATCCCAGAGCTCTTACTTCTCTCACAAATAAATTCAGCATAGTACATGCTTTGTTCAGAATTGTGATTACATCTCGACCGTCTATTCTTAGGAATACATGGTAGATGGGGCGTCTTGGTTTATGGATGGTATATACACTATTACAATGTTTGGTTGGACTATCGATTAGTGCGTCTATCTAATCTTAAAAAAAATTAAGCTTCGACTATCAATTAAATTAGTAGCCTAAAGTAAGCATTGGGCTTCTACTACGCTGATAATTGGATTAGTAGTCCAAAGTAAGAATTAGGATTTGTTGATCGGTTTAGCTGATAATTTATTACTTTTTAACTATATCAAACACCCCACTAGTTCATTGGCTTATCCAATGTCGACGACATTGATATTAGGTAAACGTCTTAAAATCATTTGATGTTTATTTACACCTAGTATTTTGTAACTTGGAATCGGGTATTGTATTTGCCCTTTGATGAATCAATATACATCAATGATTCCGATTGGCACTTGACCAAGTTGAAAAAAAGGAAGAAGAAAATATGAAAATTTTAAAATGAATTATTTGTTCTATATCGATTATAGCATTATTTTTCACTTTTTTTTTTGTTGTTTTAGATTAGAGATAAAATATAGAAAGAGACTTCTTACTTTTAATACAAGGTGGTCATAATCTTTTTTGTATTTCAAATAAGATAGTTGTGAGTATATAATTGATTAGACTTCAAGTTCAAAAAAAAAATTTGAATTTTATGACACACCATAAACCATGTAATTTAATATATAATGGCTAGTAGACCTTCTTACACTAAAAATAAATGGTATCATAATATACAATTCCTATATTAAATCATTTGAAATTTTGATTTGTAATTATTTTTCAAGCTTTTATTTGTCCCAAATTGGGGATTTTGAAACCGTCAAAAAATTGAGTGTGTTTAAAAGTTGGATTGGAATCCAAATCGTCGAATCGAACTCAAACTTTGAAGCAGTGTTTTAGATCAATTTGTTAAAAGCTAATCGCATATTTTCAGACACAACACTAGCTTTTTCACATTGAGAGAAAAAACACAAAAAACAAAATTTTAGCTTCTAATTTAGGAGCTTAGAAAGTTGATCTAAAACTTATATTATGGATATGGTCGATGATCAAAAGAATAACAAAATGTGGCAATTTTTGAAGAAATAAAATGAAAGGACGAGATATACTCATTCTTTGTGTAATCTTTGCCATATCATAAATAAGGGATTGTATACGATGAGATCATAAATAAGGGATTGTATACGATGAGATTATTTACCTTTTATACAAATAGGTCACAATTACTTGCAATCATTCGACATCAGATTGCTTAGGCATATCACAAAGTTTAAAAAAAAAAAAATTGAAGTTTGACCTTGGTCAATGGAATAAATACGACTATGTAATTTTACATCCAATAATCAAGATTAATTTTGACCAACTTATACCAAAAGTAAATAGTTTCATTATATACTTTTCTTATAAACAATTATGTAAGCCATGTGACTACTATATACTATAGCATAAGCTTGTTGACGCAGGTTAGATCCCTTGGATGGTGATGAAAATTATGATTACAAGCTTTCTATGGTCATATGAATCACAATGCAAAATATGTTTAGATTGCCCTTGATTTAAAAGATATCATTATCGAAAAACTTATAAAATACCTATAAGAGTTGCACTATCTATCACATTTGCAACTATTCCAACTCATGATCATGTATATGTTTATGGGTATTTTGAAATTAAATAAAACAGTAAGATAAATGATGAATCTTTCATAATTATTTGGATAAATTTCCCTATTATTATCCTCACGACATAGAGACCTACAAGATCACCCAAGGGTTAAAGAAATCGAATTATATTTCAATCTCCGTCCAGTATATCCATTGGACGGTGATGAAAGTTATGATTGTAATGTTTCTATGGTCACGTCGAACACGGTACACAACCTGTATAGATTTGCCTACCATTAAAAAGACATTAGTATCCTCACTTTGGCTGCTTGGCTCTAATGGCACTTCCACCATTTTCATGCCCAGCATTTGCAGAGAAACCCTTTATTAACCTTAACCCTAGCGCTAATTTATTTCTACTTTTTCGTTCCCCAAAATCCCAAACATCAATCTCTGTTAATTATATGCCAGAAATTGTATCTCTTCCCAAATGTCTCTGCAAATGTAGGAATAATTCTTCTCCCATTTCATCAGACGATTCTCCTTCAACGAGGGTCTTTATCAAAGGTATTCATGCCTCTTTATTTGAATTAATTCGATATTTTCTGCGATAGATTTGGGATTACTGTGTGGCCATGCTCCCTCAAAAAATCAGGGGTCAGGCTATTTTTTTCTTCTTATTTCTTGATTTTTGTTCTGGATTAGTTTATCTTGTATATTTGGCTGACTGAAGTGGCTTAATTAACGAAAACAGTGAGAAAAAAATCGAAAAGGGGGCCATTTCCCACATTGTTAACAGGGAGAATTTCTTGTAAGATTCGTCCCATTTCCTTAAGAACCTGCAATTTTGATGCTTTTACGTCCCCGTGAGTGGTGTATCATTCTACGAGCCATATGTTTATTGGCTAAGTTATTAACCTTCTATTTAGTAGATGCAATAGTGCATTGCAGATTGCTGCCTAACGCAAAACCATTGATTGTTTGACGTGGTTATTTGTTGAATTCCATGGTTTTTTTTGTTTCCTAGTGCAAATTCATTCTACCATAACTAACCAAAGAAAGTAAGTTCGCTAATGTACATTTGGCCGAGAAGGTGCCATTTATTTTTGACCCTCCATAATATGTTTTTTTTTTGAGAGAATTCGACCAACCATAATATTTTCCAGTTAGCAGGGGTTAAGACGAGGACTTGGTCCAGGACTTGCTAGGGGGAAGTCTGAACTTTGTCTGATAGACTAGGCCGAGTTGAACCAAGAAAATGGTAAAATATTTGGAACGGGTCAGACCTGGCTGGTTATGATTTGTTGGATATGGGCTAGGCAGCCTGCTGAGTCCAGATGACTCAGATGAGTCTTTGTCAGACTTGTCGAGTTTTCATGCAGTGGTCTTTAGAGTTGTATAAGGTTGGCAAAATGATTGTGATCGATATAATTTGTAATACCCCATTTGTGTTTGGTAGGTCAATGTGCTGTTGGTTATTGATCTTGCTGGCCTAAAACCTCCAAGAAGAGGAGACATGAACTCCTCCTCTTGGGAATTATGGTTGAGCAACAGATATTTTATTGCTTTCGTAGCTATTCCTTACACACCCCCTATTAGGATCGAAGATCCCTTATATAATTCCCAAAAGTGTAATCGAGTTATAAACCTTCCAATATACAAAAAGAAAAAAAGAACCTCCAATCTATTCAACCCTACCTAAGGCAATACACCAACTGCCTCGCTGCTCGGAAATATCCAATTATGATGCACTTATGCGGGTTATATGATAGAATGGAATTTTTCGCTGTTGGATTTTATTTTTGGTCCAATGATAAGAATCATGGTTTTCATTGTCGAGTTCAAGAATTCTAGGGCAGGTGAGGATGCCACTTTTAAGAAGCTATATGAAACAATTTTAAGAAGCTAGAGTTTCATATAGTTATTGTAGAGAGTAGAATACTTCAGGGGAAAAAACTTACTTTGTGATTCGCTTTGTTGTAATAAATGGCATGTTTACTCTTATTTTGGTGTTTCTTAATTTTGGTTCAATGTTAAGATACATGATTTGCATCAGGGATGTCAAGGATTTGCACTTTGAACCTTGAACTTTGTTCCCTATATATACCTCTTTCTATTTCTTGATGTTCTGTTTGGATAGACAAGCTAACTTCTTCAAATTTCATGCCTATCTGGCACATGAATTGTGAGTATAGATTTTCATTATCACTTATGAAGTTTTGCGTTGATATGCTATAAATGCCGACTCATTCATGTCTTAGTTACTTCTGAATAGTTATTGAACTTTGAACACGTGAGAGTATAGGACTTTCGCTATCAACAACAGAAGGCTACCTGACCAATGCTTTTTCACAGTTTGGGAAAGTTGACAGAGGTAATAACCTATGATCATAGCAACTCTTTTTAGGAAATGGTGTCTTCAAATGTTTGAAAATCTATGAGTATTACATAACCTATTTCAATGTTGCAGTTAAGGTTGTAACAGATAGAGCTTCAAAACAATCTCTTGGATTTGCTTATATATGGTTTACGTGTGAAGAGGATGCTAAGTTAGCTGTAAAGAAGATGGATGGAAAGGTATGCTTCAATTATTCACAGCTCTTTTAGGGAACTACTGACATGCCATTGATTCTGAAAGACTTTATTCATTTATTTACTTATTTTTTTAAGTTACCCAGTTTGTTTAGGTTACAGATCTGGCATTTGTTTCTCAAAAAGGGGAGGGGGGGCGGGGGGCGGGGGGGGGAACTATTCATTGATTTTTTCAAAAGATTGACAGAAGAAACCTTGTAGGTTTTTAAACTTCTATTGAAATTTTACATATTTGAGTGGTCAAGAGGCATGTATTAGATACCCTGTGGATTCCTCTCTCCAATGTCTAAAATTGTTCAGCCCCCATATAAGTATCTTAAACATTATCTTTTGTTGGCTCATAACAATTTAAAGAGGGTTATACTTTATCCAACCCCAACATGCAAATTTTAAAAATTTTAAAAAACTCAATTAGTGCACCAAGCTGATTGCATCATATGAAACCTCTTGAATTGAAAAAAAATTATTTCCAAAATATGACAGAGCGAAGAATTGATTATCTTTATGGATTTTTATTTTCTTTTTGTTTTTTTTTGGGGGGATAGGGACGAGGGGTCATTCGAAACATTTCAGGGCATCATTGTGTTACCTTTTCTTTTCTATGTGAATGGTTTTACTCACTCATAATCAATTGGTGAAAATTTCTGTATATTTCTATACAAATGGCTTTTGGGTCGTCTTTTTATTATCCACCACTGTTTTAAAAGTTTCTCCCAATAGTTTTGGCTAAAATGATGAATTGTTCGCTCCTGAGCCAAGTTTTCTAGCAAGGTTATTCTCCATGTATTATTCCACTGATAACATACGCAATCGCAAAGGCTTCATACTATTGTGCAGGTCTAATTCATGATGTTTTGTACATATGTGTTTCCCCGTCTGATGTGAAATGTTTCTGCACAGTTTTTTGATGGCAGGTTTGTTCATGTCACCATGGCATGGCCTGAAACTCTTTCAAATAAACGAAAGGCCACCCCTTATAGATTTTAACATGAACCTTGTTAGAAATGCTTGACTAGAACACCAACCTTCTGTTTTGTTTCGAAAGAACCTTTGCCTTGAGGAATCTTTAACATTCCTTGTAAGTTTTGCTGATCTATTCATTTAGAAATCGTTCGTTTTAATCCAATTACTACCCGTGAATATTCAAATGATGTCCTTTCTCTAGATTCATAAATTTTAAGTGGAATTGAAGTGTCTATGTTTATGACTGTTGGTACAAACCTAGAAGTTATATCACTACAGTGATTAAGAAACTAATGACTTGGATTTGGACTTGCCTGAGTTACTTGGACCGAGCAGGGTGCCGGTTCCAGATGAGAGAGACTGAAACTCCGGCGTGTTTCACCTAATTGGATATCCTGCTTGGCTGAGGGGGCAGCTCTCGGGCTCAGGACCTCGTAAGTCTGAATTGAAGTCTCTATTCTCGGTACACATTTTTCCACCTCATTATTGTTTTTGAAGGTGTTGATGATAAGGTAATTTTCAGCACTCCAGGTTATTGTGTGGGCTGTTCCATAGAATGGTTCAATAATGTGGAATATGATGTGTAGAACAATCATTTTAGGTATGGAAAAGTGTTTTTTTAAGGGCTACAGCTGCTTTATAAAGCTGCTTCTAAAATCTCAAAATGCAATTCTGGTGCTGGAAAACCTGTAAATTGATAATTTCAACCTTGATAACCATGAATTTGTAAAGAAAAAAGGTTTTGAGCTCTATCTTTTAAAATATTTTTTGGACCATCCATTTCAAGTTCTCATTGATCTAGCCTGCGATAATTTTGGAGCTTCAAATTTCAGTCATGGCCAGATATAGTTGGTCATCACTAGTATTCTGGAGCCAAAATACTTTTAGAGTATGGTCCATGTATCTTCACTAATAACCATATAAAAGGGCCTTTCAGTGGATTTTCCAATTTTCTTAAATAGCTTGTCAAAGAAAATTGAAGAATCATAAATATTCTGTAACATTGTAAAGCAAATGTGATAGATCATGGGATGTCTATCCAATTTCCCCAAACACAAAAGAGGAAAAATGCAATAATTGCGTAGAATTTAGAAGGAAATTCATCAAAGTATCTATCAGAGGTGAGCTATTAAATATTTTACCCTTATAATTTGCTTTAGTTTCTATATATATATATATATATATATATATATATATGGAAAAGTTGGGAGTAGACTACCGGATATCTGTGATCATCGGCTTAGATTCAATCTGGGCCGTTGGGCTCATATGTTCATATGAGCTAGTGGGCTAATCTGAACTTTTTCCTATATATATATATAACTTATTACATTTTTTATAGAAAAATTTCTATACTTTCCCGCTATATATATCTTGTATACTTCTCCATCTCCGAACCGTCCGATCTAAATGGATGATTGAGATGGCCCCAATCACAATGTTTCGTCTATACAATATTTTATTTTTAAGTTTTTTTTACAAAATATTTTGATACCGAATTTGGGGCGGCCACTCCTCTTTTAAACTTACACCTTAAAAAACTATAAAAAAAATATTTCTGATAAAATAAAAAGACCAAATTACCCTTGAAAGTGATAGTGACCAAAATTTTCTTTAGGTGCTCCTCATTGAGATAATGACGTGTATTAATTTGATATTCATATAATTGGTACAAAAATAAAAATAAAAATAGAATACTCTGATACTTCGGATCTAAATCACATGGTCAATGGCTCACTTGTTTCATTTTGTGACAAATAACTTCAACTGTTCATTTAAATTGGATGATTGAATAGGAGGGGAACCATATAAGATGTATATGGTGAGGAAGTATAGAAAGTTCCCTCTTTTTTTTATCCATATGACTTAAAATTGATCATACTTCCCTCTTCTCTTTTTTTATCCATATAACTTACAGTTGATATGATCAATTTACGGGTTTCTTATAATACGAATCTAGCACCTTGTATAAACCTTTTCATGAATAAATTATGAATTTCGATAATGTGAATAACGAAGGTGACCTCAGTTTCCATCGAATGAGAAGCTGGTGACCCTAATAACTGGATATTTCAATTTTCAACTAAACTGGTGACCCTAATAACTGGATATTTAAATTTTCAAATAAACTGAACAACGGCTAACACACTGTTGAATACTTAAAATAAGGCTAAATTTAGTAATATGGAAGAAAAGGGATAATGCCTTCACTTGGACCGAAAAGAAGAAACAGAGAAGATCCGTAGCATTATAACAGGCTAAAAAGCTTCTAATTTGTATCTATGGTCATTTATTGTGGGGAATCATCCCACATTTATTGGAATTTGTATTTTGTATGTAATCTTATCTGCCATCCATTTTCAGCCCTAGGTTGAGATGAAGTGTTAATCTCCTGTAGCATATTAGAGCCCCCATGATCGAAACATTGGGCATTGAGACTATTAAATTAGTGATTTTGGACCACACCCTCAACTCACTCGAAAATTGTGGAACTTTCCTTTTTGTATATTTTGGATGATTCCAAAAATTTGCAAATCCATCTTCTCAACTCCCAACAATATAGGATTATTTACAAAAAGATCAGTTATCTTCTGTACATCTCTGTACATGGAGATGATAATTATTCTCGTCTTTTAAATTTCAAAATGGGTAGTTATAAAAGTGTCACTGAATAGAAACAAAGTTATGAAAAAAACAATTCTCGCACTTCGTGACTCTTCTTAAGCCATCCAATTTGACATATAATGAGTGAGAATGATTATGACCTTCATGTACAAAATATAAATATTTATTTGTAGACAATCCCTTTAAATACATATAGAGACGAATATCTATCATCTTGAATGCTATATCAAAATTTGATTTGGACCGTCCATTCTATCAAAACATTGTGGGTTTTTTTTATTTAAAAAAAGCAATTATATAAGGTGTCAATCTTAGTCAGGCGCACGTTAAAAAAACTATTGAAAAAAATTGTTCAACTTTAGAAGCCCTTTTCATTGATATTTTCTAATTTGAAATATATGGATACAAAAAAAAGATTTCGAATCCTAAAAATAGTGTATATTGTAATACACTATAGAGATGATAATTTTCACGATTTTTATGTATTTATAGATATGCTTGATCGATAAATTTTAGAAGCTTTAAACTCACAAAATAGAAATATATTTTAAGGTTTTTCCAGGGTTTTCAGCACTAAATGCTTCCTTCTTTGGAGTTTAAAAGTGCACCTTATTTTGTTTGTTTAAGATAGACGACTTACATAAACCGCACTTTTCTTTTTTTTTTACATAAGTGAGGATTCTAGGATGATACGTACAAGGATTGTTTATAAAGATACCATTTATCTTTACTACAAGGAGGTCACAACTATTTGTACTCATTAGATGTTATATTGAATGGTTTGGGATGAGTCACAAGGTCAAAATACTTTTTTTTTTTGGAACTTGTTATCTATCCAATGCACCCATTTTGAAATTGGATGGAGTTTCTATAGGGCATAGGCTCTATGAAAACAAAATAAAGCCACCTAAAATCCTCATTCGGAAAGCACTATGGTCATCGAAAATCTCCATGATCCTCTCAAATCAATTTTCAACACCTAAAATAAAATTTTAAACTAAAAAAATGGTAAGAGTTTTTGTGGATTTATGAACACTTGTTTTTAACCCGAAATAGAACATCTACATTATTTGTTGCAATGTACACTATTTTTAGAATTTGAAATCCTAATTTTTTTCACACCATGATCGATTTAATTGTAATTTTTGATGAGTTTTGAGGTGAGGTTTTACGCAGCCATTTCAAACTGCTTTGCTTTGAAATTTAAAAAACAAGAATGATTGTTATGGCAAATGGTTTCTTTGTATATTTTTCCGATGGACATGTAAATTCCGGTAGTATTCGCATTTTAATGGTGAAACAAAATAGTGCAACTCCCGTTTAATTGTGCATACAAACTGGGAAAATATATTCTCTCTGGGGCATTTTGTGCTTCTATAGAAGACTCAGGGTTCTTTCGTCACTCGAAAATCTACAAATTAAGCTCGATATTGGAAGCCTTCGCCGCACACAGTAAATGGATCCATTGTCATCTCTCTCTAGTAAAAAGATCCCTGGTCATCTCTCGCTCTCAAGTAAAAATCTCTCTCTCTAATAAAAAGACATCCTTCTTTCTGAGGGCAAAATAATGATCCTCTGAGCAAATACAGAGTGTACTATTATTATGTCTCTCTCTCTCTAGACACTTCCAAAGAATGAACTCCATTTGCTGCTTGATCCAGTAGCCACTTTGAATCTACCCCAAAAGAGCAATTTTCTCCTCATGGGTGTTTTCGAATTCTGACATGGATTCCTCTCTCTCCTCTTCCTCGTCCTCTTCCTCTTCTTCCTCCTCATGGTTTTCTGGTATAGTTCGAAGCCGCAGCAGCAAACCCAAGATGACCAATAATGCAAATCTCGTCTCTATGGACTCTGCATCAAACACCCCACATCGCAAAAACCAGCTCAGAGGGATCCTTTTCAAGTATGGCCCTGAATCCATCCAGGTAAGTCTGGTTTTCTATTTTCTCTTCCTCTTTTTTTTATTTTATTTCTTTATTTTTTTCAATATTTCCATATTCCATCTTGCCTTTGAATATCTTGGTTTGGAGAACCAGACCCGTATCACTCTTTCGCTATTTGTTCTTCCGATGGGTTATAACAAATACTTTCATGCATTTTATTTTATTTATATATTAATATCTAGGTTTATAGGACTAGACCCATATCACACTCTATCTTAGTACTCAGTAGACGTGTTATAACATATACTTTGATGCTTATAGAGCCTGCATTTTGTTTTCTAATTTTTGTTGTTTATTTTGCCCTTAAATTTTGGTTTAAACTAACTATGATGGGGTTGCATAGTTTTTTGCTTATTTGATTATTGTCTAATTGTAACTTGTAACTTGAAAAAGAGTTGGGATTCTAATCATGGATACGTGGTTTAAGAAGATTTCTGTAGATTAAAAGTGGGCTTCTTAGTGCTACTTTCCAGATGAGATCCTATATTTTGATGAAGTGTTTTTTTGTTTTTTTCATTTCATTTCATTCAAAATTTTAATATAGAGGCTTTAACTTTTTTTTTGGCCGACCCCAAATAATTGGAATAAGGCTTGGATGATGATGGCATACAATTTAACTTTTATTAGTATTATTATTATGTTCTTTGTATTGGCATTTTATGAAGCCTCCTTGAGTTTAAGAAATGTTTTTTGATTATGCTTAAGCATAGGGTTGCTCGTCTAGGCGAAGGCTATTGTTCTTATTTGCATTCGTTCTCTATTCCATGTCACCCTGGTTGTGCATTTTATCATTGCGAGCCTTGGAAAGTGCTTATTTAGTTTTAACTTTGGGGAGCCTTGTATAAAGGCTGAGGCCTTAAACAATCAAAGTAAGGTGTACCTCTAAATATTGTTGAAAGGCGATTTCTCAGTGGCAAAAATATTTGTGATAGCAGAAAATTTATTTTCTTCTCTAATCATAAAACCTAAAGCTTCAAAAATAGTGCAAATCAATTAGATCTATAAACACTTGAAAATATGAAAATTAACAGCCCCGGACAATGCATTCCAAGATGCACTATTTCCCGAACTTGAAATCCGTCTTTTTTCGCGCCTATACATCTCGAGGTCGAGATGATCAATTTGAAGGTTTTTTGATATCAAAACAACCTCTTGTTATTAATTTTTGAGGTGCGCGTTCATTTGATTGTTTAGGGCCTCAACCTTATATAAACTATTTCCATTAACTTTTAAGCCTTTTCTTTTGTAAATAACTTTGTATTTTTTTATACGGGATTTTGTGTTAACTTTTTATCTTTTATTTATTTATTTTTATTTTTTTTGGAAGAATTGGCTACTTGGGGGCTTGGCATAGCTTTCAACTCACAAGTATGCTATTTGAGGATTGACAGGATTCAGTTTTGCAGGTTGCATTCAAAACAGGTGATTTCAAGCAGCAAGTCATTTTTATGGGTGGATTGACAGATGGACTTTTGGCAACAGAGTATAATCTTCCACTTTATTTACGCAAATTCTGAGCGATAAAACTTAGAAAGAGAAATGATAACATAAAGTGAACTAGAAATGTGAAGTATTTCTGACAATATGTGGGATGCAAGTGTAATTTTTCTCAATATTGAATTTAATTTGCTTTGCTAACTCTTTTGAACGTCTGTTAGTTTTGCTATAACTTGTAGCTGTTCTGCAGTTATTTGGAACCTTTGTCAGTTGCTTTAGAAAATGAGAAGTGGTCATTGGTGCAATTCTTGTTTTCCTCTTCTTATACTGGTTATGGCACCGGAAGCCTGAAGCAGGTAGGTCATAGTTCCTATATTGCCTGAGGATCTTTATTCAGTTATTTTTATCGTATCATACTGCAAGATTTCCAACTTATTATTGTTCAATCATGAGAATTTACTGTCATATATAATTTGGAATGGAATCTAAGGAATAAGAGTGCATGTTGACCTTCAATACCATTTAAAATTATGGGCTTTCCTATCTGTATTCCTGAAAGTATTCCACTGGACTATACTTGTAGATTTGCTGTGCTTCTGATTGCCCAAGATTTGCCTTTTTACTAATTAGAGTTTTGGGCTCAAGGCTAGGTGTAATTAGAGTACTGGGCTCAAGGCTAGGTGATCAGGGTGGTGCCACAACACGATGTTATTCCTACTTGGGTAGGGGAGCCAATCCCCACTGCACTACCCCCCCCCTTCCTCAAGAAAAAAAACAAAAAACAAAAAAACACACTAAGGTAACAAAACTTTATGAATCGTCTAATGACATGTATTTATCTCTTGCCTTTTTCATGGTAAATTAAGTCGTGGATATGTGATCTAGCCCTCTCCTGCCCAATATATAAAATGGCATTGGTTATTTTGTACCATTCTGTTTTTATCGGATAAGTGGATGTCTCTGATGTTGGAGACATTGGAGTCATGCGATAAAATTGGAAAGGTACAAAATAACCATTGCTGTTGGACATTTTGTACTCTTGGTAAAAAAAATAAAAAAATAAAAATTGTGCTCCAAGATGACTGTCTCCTCAAATAATTTTTTTTTTTTTGGAGAGAAATCGTCAAATAAAAATTGTCCATTGTTCTCATTAATTTGGACAGATGTTGTGACGGAAGGGCTTCCGAGCCTGTATCCTAAAAAATAATTTAATTTTTTTTATAACTGTTAACTTCTACCAAATAATGTTAAATTGTTTTTGAAGTGTTAATCAATGGCTCATAGTGTTCCTTTAACACATCAGAACTCGAAGAACTATAAATTTGAATGAAGATCTGCTCTCTTGATTCAAGAAGTTATTTCCAATTCCATTGTAGGATCTCATTGATACATACCAAAACCATAGTTGATGATGGAATTCCATGGGAACTCTCTTAAAGAAGTCCAATGCAAATGATTTGGATTCCATAGGCATATCAAAACTATAATAGCTCCTCCTACTGTTATTTATACGAGTCAATTATTTTATGGACCAAGGTTTCATCTACTGGTGGGGTCAATGCCCTCCTCTGCACTACAAGTGCAGTGCTCTTCCTCATATTGTATAGTAGAAAAGAAAAGACCTCACGAGATCTTTTCTTTTCCATCGTAAAACATGGGTTGGGGCCTCTTTTTCAATGTCTGCCCTGTTGTTAAAGTACCCAGCATATGGTGGTCACTTAAACTTATTTGATATTTACTGCATAAAAGAGCCGTCTTGACACAACTTAACTAATTAGATTTTTTCGCAAAATACCAATATGGTCGAGGATGCAATGAAATAGCATAAAGTTGTATCTTTCCTATTGTAAAACATTGCTAGGGGTCTCTTTTTCAATATCCGCTCAATTGGTAAAGTAGCTAGCAAATCGTGGTTTTTTCACCTCTAACACGATCTTAACCCTACTAGATATTTACAGTGTAAAAGCACCCTTCCAAACACAACCCGACTAATTAGATTTTTCCACAAAATAGCTTTTGCTTAAAGATGCAACGAAATAACCTTTGGTTGAGGTTGCATTTCGTGGGATAGTTGTAATGATATCCTGGTACACGGAGGACACCTTCCCATAGCAGTTTATGTTATATGATAAGGAATAGAAACTTACTAGCCTGAAATATGGGATGGTATAGCATCTACATCATGTGGACCCTTAAAGGGTCTACAAGCAACCTCCAATAGTTTAGATTGAACCTAGTATCATTCAACGGCCACAAAATAGTTTTTTATATTTTATTTTTATTTAACAATTATATTTATATATAGTTTGGTGAGTAGTAGATGCATTTTTATATAGCACATAAAATAAAATAATAAATGAATATTTTGAACAAAAGATTGACTAGAATACCCTTGAGTATTTCTAGCCAATTTTTTCGTTTAAAATATTTTTCATTATTTTGCCATATAAAAATGCATCTACTAATCGAATTTAGATAAATATATTTTTTAATAAAAAAAAAACTGTTTTGTGGCTGTTGGATGTGGCTTTCAATCTAAACCATAGGAAAAACACTTCCGCCGTCCACATCATGTGGACGGGAGACTAATATATAATATTTGGGTTTGTATAATATAAGAACATTTACCTTTGGTTCAAGAAGGTCACAACCATCCCTAGCCATCAAATGTGAATTGGGTAGTTAGAGGCGTGCCACAAAGTTTGAGGAAAATCTTTTTGGACTTTGAGCAAAGTCAAGGCACACCCCGAGCTGTCCAATTTGACATCCAATGGCTAAGGGTGACTATGACCTTCATGTATCGAAAGCAAAAGTTCTTATTCTATATTTTCTCATAACGTTTTTACCTTCCATTATATTGATCACTTTACATTGATTTGATGAAAAACTATATCAGAAATTTTGGTAGAAACTTATTGTATTTTAGATCCTTAAATATTGTAGGCCCTTATCTTGTGGAAACAAATCTTCTTGTGAAGTTGGGAGGCTGAAACAACTATATACTTGCTGACTTTAGAGGCTTCATGAGATATTCTAGTGAACTCTCATCCAGTGAGTTGCTTAGGTTACAAATGTAATCCTAACTAGGTAGAAACAAAAGAACAGAGACTGTTTCAAGTGTCCTTGAACCTTAAAGTCTTAAATGCAATAGAAGAATTGGACTTAAAGGAAGCACTCATCTTGCCCGTATTGGATACAGCCAGTCTAGTTGTTTCTCATGAGGAATCTAAGTCTCATCCAAAGCAGTCATCACAGGTGGTGCCAGCTTAAGCACTTTGAAGAACTAAAACTGGAGCATAATCCCGAATGTAAAATTTTTAGTCAAACACTTGACAATTTTATGATTTCATATATTTTGATATCTACATTGTATTATGGTCTTTGCCATTCATGGTTCTGTTGTTTACACTTCAAAGGACTGCCTGGAGCTTGACCAGCTGATTAGCTATTTTATCAACAAAGAGAACTCTGAGGGTGTAGTACTACTTGGGCACAGCACTGGTTGTCAGGTGAACAGAATTGTGGGACCATCATCTTAACATTTGATTCCAAATTCAAAAATCAAGAAAGTTTGTTAGCAAAGTAGGCATATACTTTAAGGGGGACTCGAATGAAAGGTTCACTCTTTTATTTTGGAACCCTATCAGGATATTGTGCATTACATGCAAACAAATACCGCATGCTCGAGAGCTGTGCGTGCAGCCATCTTGCAGGTACTTTATTTTATCTTAGTGTTCTCTCTCTCTCTCGTTTGTGTGCGTATGCTTGTGATAATATTTTTCCAAATGGATATTCTTGGTGGGCCCATTTTCTATTTGGTTTGGAAAGGTTATCAGTTTTGAAAAATTTAATTTTTTAAGATTTTGAAATTTGAAATTAGATCATTTCAGTCATCTTATATTAACTTCTAATTTAAGATATGAGTCACGCTTTGCCCATCTCAATACCCTAATCCTATTATTTGAAGCTATACTTGAAAATTATAGCTCTCTCTCTCTCTCTCTCTCTCTCAACTTTTAAGCTATACTTGAAAATTATATCTATTTTGAGCGATATTAGATAGCTTTGGATTATATGTCATTTTCTCTTTTTTGTGGAATCTGTGCTATGAATTTTCTCTATCGAAATGGATTCTTCATGGTTTTGGCTTATCATTAGAATCTATTATGAGAATTGAGTTGTTATCAGTTTTGCACATAAACCATTGTGATAGAAAGCATTTGTATCTGATTTTAGAGGCATGTTTATTTCGACATGGTCTGTTTTGAGATGTATTACAGTACATATGTGGTAACCTTGACACTAACAGAACATAACTGAATGACCTTGACACTAACAGAACATAACTGAATGTCATTTCTCAGGCTCCAGTTAGTGACAGGGAATACAGAGCGACCCTTCCTGAAACTGCTGCAATGATTGATTTGGCTTCCACTATGATCAGCGAGGGTCGGGTAATGGATTTGATGCCTAGGGAAGCAAATCCAGATGCACCCATAACTGCCTATCGGTGAGTGCTATGACAAATTTTGACAGAGCATATTGCACTTTGGGGTCTTTGGTTTTTTGGTATTTGTGTAACATTCTTTTGTGAAAGTTTACTTGTCCTAATTATTAATCTGAGCTTATTAAGTTCTGAAAGTAATATTTACCCCCAAAAAAAACTAAAAAAAAAAACAAGAAGTATACGAATTAAAGGTGTAAACTTACAGGTATCACTCACTTTGTGCATATATGGGAGATGATGACATGTTCAGTTCCGACCTCAGTGATGACCAATTGAGATTAAGACTTGGGCATATGTCAAATACACCATGCCAGGTAGACTTTTCTTTGCTTTTTAAAGAGAAAATTGTGTTTCATTGCATTTACATCTATTATTGTGCTAACCTAAATGGTAGGGAGGCAGTTCATTCACTGTATAATGTTGAAAAATTGATGGGAATGTAATTTTTTTTTTTGTCGTTTCTTGATATGATATGCACTAATGCTTCATGGAGCCGTCTCTGTTGTGCAAATTCCTTGACTTGTATAATTAGTATGTGGAAACTCTGGTGCTAGCTTGTGAACTTTGGAAAAGTATCATTCAGAAACACTTGTTTTTGCATCTAAAATTTCATTAGAATATTTAAACTTGAATCCTATTTATAAAGACTTTGCTTGTTTCATACATCAAAAGCATTAGCTGATTAATTGCGTCCTTCACAGCTTGGAGGTGAATTTTCCATTTAGGAAGTAGCATAAGATTGGACTTCACTTTCAAGGTTTATGTTTTCTTTTCGATATGGAGGAGAGAACAAAAGAGCATCGACACATGCATATGCGCACGCACGCACGCACGCACACATACAGAGAGAGAGAGAGAGAGAGAGAGAGAGGACTTTTGCAGACACATGGGAGATGCTTTGATGGCTGATTATTTTTCGGTCTTCCCTGTAGGTCATTTTCTCAATGGCTGATGAATATATCCCAGACT